GGGGCACGGGGAGGTTTTGCTTTCTTTTCCTGTCATCGGTAGGCAAAATGGCAAGAAACCAGCATATGTTGGCCAGTTCTCGCAGAGAAGGACTGATGGGAAATGGAGATTGCGGCCTCAAAGGCTGCACGTGGTGTCTCACCGGATTCATAAAGGAGCGTTGCTTTTACCCACCTAGTAACAAGCTGCTTGTAGCTGAGGACCTGCGTACTCGAGCCCTGTGTTGGTGGCTGTAGCACAGAGAAGACGTCTGTTGGGTATTACGCTGATACTCACATCTTTTCCTCATCCTGCAATTGTGCGTGTGGCTATCTTGCGCTTTCCCAAGGCCTTGGTGAGTCAGAGAGATTGTGGGGGGGGTTCAGGAGCCAGCCTGCACGGGGCAAGGTCGGGACCTGAATTGTAGCCAGCTGGGAACCCGAAGGGTAGCTCCTTCAGTACCAGGCGCCTGCAGTTGGTTTTGGAGTCGGTCTGTGTTTGAAGGAACTTTTTAGCCTGAATGTTTTCAGTCTGCATGGAGGACTCCTGTTTCAACAAGAACTGTATACAAGGGTAATGTTTTGTGCTGTATAGCTGTAAAATGATCACCTTAGGAGAGAGTGGGCCCCTCTGAAGGTACGGAATTGCAGAGGATTAGTAAAGATGTTAGAATTACACTAGATCAGTACCTGCACAACCTCAAAAAATGAAAACTTGCAAGAATATATCTTGGTTCAATCTTTCTACATTTGCTTTTGAATGATGCTGTCTATCTGGTAGGAAACTATTTGCTCATCAGTTATGCTTGCAGATTATCAAGGCCATAATCCATTGCCTGAAAAAAAATCAAAGTGAGACTGTTTAAAAAACATAAAATAAATTGAACTATAAAATGCCATATTAGTTTATTCTTAGCCTTGTAGAGGACCAAGAAAATCCTACTGAAGCCCTGATATGTTGGGGTCTAGCATCTTTGTTAGACTGCTGGATGCTTTGTTGAAGTAGATGAGCAGAGCATTTTTTGTTGTTTTGAATCACAAAGCCATGCAAAACTTCTGGTGGCTTTAATTGGTACCATGTAACGGTGATCACCGCATGCCACTGTCAAAACTTGCAAAGAGCTTTAGGAACATCTTTTAATAGCAGTAGATACAGTATTCTTCTGAGCAGACAACACAAAAGTGAACATGAAAACTCTTTTGCCTTTGGGTAGCCTGGTTATGTCAGTGAAGAGATGGCCTCTTGATTAAATCCAGACTGAGCAGTTTCCTGTTAGCATGCTAACTCAGCCCACAATGTCTTATTCTGAAAGTCTGTTATTGAGTCTGTCTGCCAAGTCCTTTTTCCTTTTAAACTTACAGGCTGAATTGCTAAAATAATACAAATACAAACAATCCCTAAAAGTCTCTTAAAATGATTTCTAGCAGTTTATTGTTTTGCTGACAAACTCAGTTTTAGATTTTCAGGGTTTGGGGTTGTTTTTTGTTTTGTTTTGTTTTTTGTTTTTGTTTCTTTTTAAAACATTCTCCCAACATGATGTCTTGAGAAAGTTGCAGTGTTGCAATTAAGGGAAAATTCTGTGCATGTATCAATCTTGGAGGCAGATTCTGCCCTTGGTTGGTACGTAGTCACATCAGTGAATGAGAGGTTTTTACACACACTGAGTAAAATGTGGCCATAAGTCAATACATCATGAGTTGGGCAATCTGCTGGATAGAAAATTAATAGTTAAATACAGTGGTGCAGACTTTATTCCCTGTTTGAAAGCACTTGTATTCTGTAACTAGTTATTTTCAGAAGTCTATTTTAATTGCAAGATGAAAAGTCAGCAAGAAAACTTAATATTTTTTTTTCCCCGGGAATGTTTTGCTTAAGGAAAATTTGGATGGAGGAGATGTGTAGTGGTGGTAACATATCCTCTTAGCCTTTGTGTAATGGTGGGGTTGCGCTGGGGTAGCAGTGGGGTGTGATGCAGTAGTACTGTGCATTGTCTTGTCTGTTTATAAAAGACATTAATGGGTTCATGACACAAGCCCAAGCTACCCAGTTTGTAATTTCACAATCTGTTTGAACAGATGTAAACCTGCGATGCTTCCAGAAATTGTCTTGCAGCTTGCACCCAAACCTGTGTCAGCCTGTGTGTTTCTGTAGCCGTGGGGTGAACTTGTGTGGCTTAAACCCGAGCCCACGGAGCGTTTCGGTGGGACCAGTTTCACAGCCCACTTTGCTGGAGCAGACGGGCAGAAAAGGGCCTCTGGGAATGGCTCCTTTCAGCAGCTTCAGCTCAATGTGAAGTGGTGCCATTTTGCAGTTGAGATGAGGCTGCAAGTTTCCTAGGGCCTCTGCTTACCTACTGGGTCTGTGCTCGTCACAGTCTGTTGACAGGTCCCTGTGGCTTGATTCCGACAAGATGCTCCTGGATCTTTCAGGGCTTCCTACAGACAGAGGCACTTTTCTGCCAAAAAACCTGCGCTTGGGCCCACTTCTTAGAAAGTCCAGAACATCGTAGGATACTGCTATTATTCCTGATTTTTCTTTCCCTATCAAGTCTGGGGGTTTTAAAAATTGTTTTTGTGTTGTGGGTTTTTTTTGGTTGTTTTTTTGTTGTGGTTTTTTTTTTGTTTTGTTTTTTTTTTTTTTTTTTTTAATACAACAGGCTGTATTTTAATGTAACAATGAGAGTTTGTTGGACCTCATTAAGCTGGGAAATGAGATGTCCTCGTGCAAGAGTAGCAAATCTTTAGACTAATATTAAAGACATCTATATCGCTTGAAACAAAAAAGGGTATCTATTATAAATAATTCAAAAGCAATGGAAGGTAGTGATGTAAATATGGAGTGGGTGGGTTATTCCTAATTATTTTATGAATAGATTAATAGTTTTTTCATTGTGTTTTGTCAGCATGCCAAGCCAGGGTCAGTAGTGGCCCTGAGTCATTAACATGCTGTCTTCATGTCCCTCAGTCTAGTACCGAGGGTAACGTTGGAATCTTGTTAGCTTTGTTTCTAACTCAAACCTTAGTAGGCTGTTTCTGGAGCAAAACTTCTGGTCAAACTAGCCATGTGTCTGAACTTCATATTCAGTTCTGGTTGTGTTCTGTCAGGATGAATTTGAGACGTGTTAAGGAACCATGGGGGAACCCAGAGTATGGATTGTATTGTTACTTAGGGGAATCTCTCAATCTGTATAAAGAACTGACTCAATATTCAAAACCCAGAAGTGCTGTTAAATTATAAGATATTACTGTAAGACTGGGAAATCTGAACTAGTGACATGCTGTTACTATGTGGTATGGTGCTACAGCAGAAGCTGTTACCCAGGGGGGGAGGCTGTGAGTCAGAAGAGAAGCCATCACAGCAGTCCCAGCTGAAAGCTTACCCTGGCTGTGTATGTGAGGAGGAAATCTGCAGTGGCGTAATGTTGCAATGAAAATGAGTTGGACTCCTTAGTTTTCATCCTGAGATTGCAGGAGAGTGGATGATGCACAGACTAAGCTAGACTGTTGTGTGCTCATTCCCAGTACAAGTTTATGTTCCTGTAGTATTTTTCTACTGATACATTTAATTTAACCTAAAAAGCTTCAAGATTTTTTTTTTTTTCCAGAGTCTTGAAATATTTCATGGTGGCCTGATTTTTCCTTTGCATAATGCCATTAATCCTAGATAGGTAAAAGGCTTGCCTTGAGATACTTTCTAAACTCAGTAAATGTGAATAAAAGTAACTCTATACTTCAAAAAGATATTTCATTCATTCATATGACCTTCCAATAGTTTATTTACATAAATCATAATGACATCTGGGGATTTTTGACAGGATTTTTCTTTTCACTCACTGGTTGCAGACATTCAAATGGGCTCAAGCCATTTCTTTCTCTCAAGAAAAATGACTTCTTTTGTTACTGGAGTTTTACTAGTGCTGGTGAGGTGTGATTATCATGATTAAATAGTGATTATACACGCCATGCAATTGCGATCAAGGTAAAAGAGCGGGTGCATCAGCATGTTTTTCCTCAAGCTGAGATTGCCGTACATCAGTCGATCCAGTCCCCATCAAACAGCAGCAATGGAAGGGGACCTGTGCGTCTCCCCATGCTGCCTCTGTAGAGTTCAGCCTTTTTTACACAAGTGGTCTAAGTGTTCTTCTAGTCAAAGATAGCCAACTCAAAAGGTAGAGGGAAATTTTCTGTTAGATTGCTCTTGTTGATGCTTTTTATTTATAATCCCATTTTTAAAGTTTCTATCACACGTACTTAACAAAAAAAGTATTTAAGCCAGTCACAAAAATAGTTTTCTGAACTGTCCTCTAAATAGTGGTAGAATTTAAGGGACTGTTTCTAGTTATTTCAGACCTTAAAGCAGACTGTAAGCATTAAAACCAAATGCTGCTTAAAAAACACACACCCCCCCCAACACCAAACCCTAGATTTGTTGACAAATATTGTGCCAAACGGAAACTGTAAGAGAAAATCAAAATGTTATCATGGCATGTTTGGAAGATGACTTTGACATCCTCCTTGCAAAAGTATCATGAAATGTTTCGTATCCAAATGTGCTCATGACCTTGAGTTCTGTGTGGCAACCCAAAGTTGGTATTTTTAACAAGAGAGTCACAAGTGCTGATGCTAAAGTTGTGGTCAGTTTCCATGTTTATTCAGAAGTTAAGTGAGACACTGAATTACTACTGTTGTTCCCTCCAGTAATATTATTCTTTGTGGGATAATGGATTTTCATTTAGATAATAATATATGTTAGGATCATAAGATAACTTAATAGCAGTTGGACTATAAATGATTTTGTGGAGCATGTCAGAGAAATATTTTAAAGATAAACTTTAAAAAAACCTCTGTTATTTGATATAGCATTTGGTGTTCAGAGAGCCAAAATTGACAAAATTGTTTAGTAACCAAAGGTGGAGTACTCATGTGAAAGATGGAACTTAATCTGTGTTTCATTGTGAAAGCTGTGTCATGGATCTGGCTTCTGTCTGATTTTTGTGCTTTGTTTTTATTTCAACTTTGTAGGCTGGAGGGGACCAGTTACCTCCAGAACATACTGTCAGCCAGTATGAAACACGCAAGATCAGGACAATAAAGGCTGGAACTTTGGAGAAACTTGTGGAGAACCTTCCGACAGCTTTTGGAGACAATGATTTTACCTACATCAGTATCTTTCTCTCAACATACCGGGCTTTTGCTTCTACTAAGGAAGTATTGGAACTACTCCTTGACAAGTAAGAGCTAGTATATAATGGAAACTGAGCCATCATTTACATGATAGGGGGGTGTTGTCAGGAATTTCTTCCATTGCTTTTAGTGGACATGGACTTAACCCAATGGACAGATGTCAAGAATACTGCAAAATTCAGAATTTCAGCGTAAACATAAAATGTGTAAATACATGCTGCCCATGTCCCAAATCTCATCAAAGCATAGTCACCAGGCAGGGAAAGTAAGAATGTCTGACTGCTAAGGAACCAAACTGGGACCAACACAAGGAAATCAATATATCTTTCCCCCCCAAACAAACAGAACGCATGGGCTACAAAGTCATGCCTAGAACAGATTCCTGCGTTTTGCTGGAGATTGATATTTTCAGACCTAAATCTCCTGTTTGGGGGCTGCTGATTTGAAACAGGTATTGTACAAGCATGAGAAAGAATTCACTATCCCCCTTCTAATACTTCACATGAACATGCAGTCATTAATTTTTACAGACAGCACATGAACCACATAATGTTATAAGAATAGCTTTTATGGTAAGACTGTTAAATCACATCTGCTCTATCTGTATAAATGCTTAGAACCCACAACATTAGTTTTCTCACCCTAAATTCTAATTGAGACATGATTGAGTCAGAGGTGATCTCATTTGGGGAGTATCATATTTATTACATTTTCAAAACCAAGTGACGTACAGAAACAGTTACTCTGGCATGTAGTAATTAGAACACGGGAGTAGCATAAAACTCCTAGTTTTTAATTTGGGCTCTCCCACTAGGTAGATAAGGAATAAGGCATGGATAAGTTATCAGTGCTTTTCTTTTGTATCTGAAAGGAGTATAATACTACTTGCTTTGTAGGGATGTTAGATGGCTCAATTAATAACAATGTTGAAATGCCTCGCTGCCAGTCCTGCTGTGGTTTAATACTAGCTAGGGTTGTGCAAGTGCGGTAACTTCACGGCCAGGTAAGAAGTCAGATGAGGAAAGAGCAGCCACCCTGGGGAACAGACTGTACAGTTAGATTTACTGCTGTGAGCTTTACCCCTCAGTCCTTACTAACACTGACATAGAACGTGAGGAGCAATAAAAATTGACAGTGCACATTATGCAAGAATGTAAAAATGTTGAGGAATGGGTAATTGATTCTATACCCTCAGTTTTGGATTCTATGTTTTGGACATATGTATCTTTGAAGAGTAAAATATGAAAGGACACCAAAGTTGTGTGGATTCTAGTAACTTTTAGAGAGGAGCTGACTTGCCAAGTGACAGTGTGTCATGATAATCTCTTGCTTCCTAAGCATGTAAATTGCCAAAGAGCCACAAATTTATAGGAGAAACCAATAGATGTATGCATATACATTGTCACTTCTAGCCAGTAATGTTTCACGTGTGATTTATTTTACCTACTTTTATAAAGTAATATATTTTTAACAGAAGAAGTTGGAATAAATAAAATAGTAGCCTTTGCAATGATGCTTTGCCTGAAATGGCTATTTTAAATACATTCCCCTAACTGTTCAGTTTTTGTTGCTCTGTGTTGGTGGGCTGTCAGACTGCTCTTTCAGGGTTCTTATGTATTAACCAATGTGTACCTGGGGAAATTTTCTTTCTTTAATCAATGAGAACTTGCGAGTAGCTCTAATAATAGTGAATCAGTCAGTCAAAGGTGGCTTCAAGGCCAATGATATACACCTTGCTTTTCAATTAAAGGCTCTTAAGTTGTCTTAAGACAACTTTTTTTTTTTGCTCTTAAAGTATATTCATATATCCTGCTTAAATGCCCAGAAGGCATCCTCTCTGTGCATTCCCCACCCAGCTCAACACAATTTTGATTTATAGTAGTTTCCATTCTTATTTTTCTCTTCCTGAGGTATTTCACTAATGCAAATAAATGTCCTGCCTGGAAGTGTGACCTCATTTCACAAATCAATGTACAGACATGCCTAGAATTGTTTGCAACAGCGCCCACCCTGAAGACCCCTTACTGTCAACAGATGGTAAACAGTGAGAGGAATAGACTATGCATGCAGATACTTCAGAGGAGTGTGCTGAGGCAAACAGAGAGGAAGGGTTTAACTCCCAGGGGCAGTTTTGGAATTCAACCTGGGTTTTCACATATTCATATTTTCACATGTCCATATCTGGTTGGTTTTTGCTGTCCTCAGGAGACAGAAGGCTGTTATGCAAAGAGCAATTAATATATTGGCTTATTTAATTTGTATAATTATAAAAGATCCCGTGTATCTGACAAGCAAGTTTAGAATCTACTATCAAATGTGTTAAGCTGAGTGATCACCAAAGTGATGTTTTTGGAGAAAAGTTGTTGGTGCTGGGAGGCTGCCTTGGGTCCTCGGTGCGGGGCTGGCTCTTCGGTCTGTGCAAAGGCCCTGGGCAGGACGAGGAAAGGGGCCTTGGAATTGTTGGGCTGTTTTGTCCTCCTGCGTGTTTCTGCCCAGAGGACTTGGTGGTGTGTAACCTTTGTGTGGGACAGGTGATCGTTTCATGTGCACGTGTGTGGACCTTGGTTGCCTTACCTGGCTGGATTCAGTGGGTGCTCCGGGTGGTTCTGCCCAGGACACCAAGCCGTGGGTGCTGCCGGAGGTCTGGGCGAGCTGAGGCGTGGGGGAAGGCATGTTGAGCTGAGGTGTCTCTGCTCGTGCCACTGAACGGGGGACAGTGCTCTCCAGAATTGTCAATTCAGCGCTTCGGTGGCTACTGAAATAATTAAATCTCTCTGTAATCGAGGATTGAAGCATTTTAAACTTGAAGATGGGGCCAAAGGGGTAATCCACTGAAACAGCAGTCCACCTTACAGTCAGTTAGCCTTGTTATGGTTCTGATTGTTTTGGGGTGTTTCATAACCAGCCATTAAATTGTTCAAACTCCGTTAGGCTGAACTGTAATAAGGATGATGAAAAAGTCTTTCGAGAATCTTGCTTTTGCACTGAATTTTGTAGAGTTCTCTAGATAAATGGTTCTGTTTTCTTCCTATATTTTCCCTTAGCAAAAAGAATCACAGTAACCTAGATCTAGAAACGTACCAAATTGGTGAAGTGTTGAAGTTATAAAATCAGATACTCAAAGACTAGAAATTTGAGAGGGGGAAGAACTCAACATCTTTATGAAGTTCATCATAATGGGCTTTCGTTTCTACTTCTGTATTGTTTTCTTTAATGTAGGTTTTAATGATAGGATTTAAAAAACAGCCTGAAGAAAGTAATTACTCGTTCTCAGAGAATCATTGGTCATGAGACACCTAAACTCTTTGGGATCCTGTGAAAATGCCAGCACCGTGCAGTAAAGGTTTCTGTAAATTGTATAGCTGGTGCATTTTAGCTCAGCTAACTCTGCAATTAAGTTCTTAATATTTTCATATCTGGGAATTACATCTGTAATATTACAATTGGATTGTAGCACAAAAGAAGTGGCAAGTCTGACTTATGAGTCTCTCTTACATTTTTCTCAGGAGTGTATCAGGAGAGAAAACCAGCCTTGACGGGAAAAGAGACTGAGCTGACAAGGACTAACTCAGTTTTGAAATGTGTGCATAGCTAGTTCATAAGGGATTTCATTTGAGCATCCAGGCAGGAATGAAGAGGAAAATAGGTGTCCTCTTGTAAAGATGATGTGCTTGTTATTCACTGCATTGTTGGCTGCTGATGGAGGGGAAGGATCCTGTGCCAGACGGCTGTGTTCTTGTGGTCTTGAAGAGATTGAGTTCCTGTCCCGTTGGTTTTTGGTAACATGCTGGCGTGGTAGAAGCCCTGCTTTAAGGAGAGACATCCTCCTGTGGTTGGCTTGATGGGTAGGAAGGGAGAACAAGGGAAGGTGATACTGCAGTTTTACTTCAAACAAATAGCCCAAAAGATATTTATAGCAGTGTCTCCAGTAAGTTTGGGTAGTCAGGTTGCTTAGAGCAAGCAAGTCAGGAGTGTACATGACTGTGAGGATGTCAGCCCTGCTCCCTTCCTCTGATGTTGCTTTAAAGAGGTGAAAATGTCAGAAGAGGGCAAGAAAGCACAGGGGAAAAGTCTCCATAGAACAGAACTTTATTTTCTGAGCCCAATTCTGATCTTACGTGCTTGTGTACCTCAGAGCAAGTTATATTGTCTCCTTCAGAGGAAGGGCACGTTGTCAACATTATCCCCAGCCTTTTATAATAAATGATAGAATCCACAGGAAATCCTAGGAGGTCACCACTTCCTTCCCCTCTCACAAATCTAAGGAGTGTAGTGCTTAAGAATCTATGGATGTTTCTCTTGGCTTTTAGAATATCATGGATAATCTAGAATTTTATGGTTTGGGACAGAATATAGATGGAATTTAAGCTATAAAAGTTACGATTTACATGCAGCTGTGGAATATGGACTTGTGAAGGAAAACAGATGTTATAAGGAAAAATAAGAGAGAAAGGGATAGTAATTGAATTTAACCAGCTTCGTTTTCGTCTTTACATTAGTGTAGCAAAGAGTCTGTATTTTTGCAACTTTCTTGTTAGTGATACTCATTAATAATAACAGTACAGAAACAAAAGCGGGTGTCAGTGCATAATCTGCATTTTATAAGTACTTGTACTTTGTTTTCCTGTGAAGTAAAAAAGTAATGAAAAGGACAATCTCTTAAAAAATCAAGTAAGATTTTGGCATCAAGTTGTCAATTTTAGTTTCGTGTGAAGAGCTTGAGCCCCGTTTCTTATTCTTGATGATAGAGCAGGGTTGTAGATTAAGGGAACAATCATGAATGGCAATGCTGAACTTTTGTTCTTTGGTCCAAGGGAGAACAGTGATGTGGCCAGATCAAAAAAGGCCTTTCCATTTTTTACAGGCGAGCAGCTCCTAGATGTAGAGTAGGAGGGAAGAGCATCTGCATCTCCCAGTTGTAGGACACATTTTTTTTTGTTTGAAATTACACATTGACAAACTTCCTCCTAAAGTGCTGCAGAATTGTCTGATGTATGCATTAGACATGCACAAATTCAGATTATACAGAGTGCCCTGGGACTCTTGG